TAGCTTTCTTGTTGTAGCAGTTTCAGAATTGTAATGCAACGTCCCTTTTCCAACTGCAGCGTCTCTTCTGAAGAGGCTCAGCCAAGGAGAAGTTTGAAATGGATCAGATCTATGGCTGGTTTGATGCCATAAGGGCTACTGCTCTGCTTTGTTAAACAGGAAGTCTAGTTCAGACCCTCCAGTCTATCAGCCAATTCCAGAGCAGCTGTGGAGGTATGTATTCAGTTGATCTGTATGTTAATATCACTTTCAGGCTGAAGAGCTCTTAATTAAAGCTGGAGGCACCCCATGCTTATATGTCCTGACCGTTTCTTTGTTGCTTTTCTTGACATGCTCCGTCTCCAGCCCCAGACTGCCTGCGTTCCACCACCTTCATCTCTGCTCAACTCAGTGGGCCAAGTGATAAGTGAGATGATAAGTAAGAGAACAAAATGACATACTATGACATACTGGTAAGTAGGAGGGAGTCCAGGTTGGTACAGCATACACATTGCAGGGGGCTGGTATAAACTGACTTGTACACACTTATGCTTCCTCTAGATCTTAGTCTTTGTGTCACCTCTGAATTTGACCCTTTTGTGCTTTTGGTTCCTGAGCCAATAAGAGCTGGTGGTATTGGAGGAACCTGGCCTAGTGCCACAGGTATGTCCACACTGCAGTCACAGAAGTATAAACAAGCCTACACTGTGCTAGACAGCTTCTGGCACCCGAACTGGCTGGTTTAGAAGAAGCTTAGATATCTCTACAGACCCACAGGTGTCTGCTGCACATTTAAATCCCTAGACAAAGAAATAATGTTATTTGTCCTCTGATACCAGATGCCAGGAGGCACTGACACACTGAACAAATGATTCATCTGGAGTCTCCTGGCACCCCTATAGGATGCAAGGAGGTTCGACTCCTGTTGGAGCACCGGCTAGGAGCTTTGCGGAGGCAAAATGCTCTGCCTCTAGGTGGGGGTGGAATCATTTGCATTGTAAAGGTGGGCCCAGGCTTAAAGACCTTAAACTTCCAGGGTGTCTGAGCATTGCAAACAAACCTTGTCCTTCTCATGAGTCAGAGCACTGTCCCTAACCTGGGAAATCCAGAACTAGGTCTGAATGAAAGAGCTCACTCCCATTTAAACTCAAGAATAATTACCTAGAGATGTGCAGCTGTCCCAACCTGAGACCTCTCTTCTCCCTCTCTCAGAGGAACTTTAAGAGTCCATTCGCCTTCTGCTGCTGGGAGCTCAGATTCCAGATCCACCAGTGGAAGAAAATTGGGCCCTTTCTCCCCGAAGAAATGTGTTTGATGTGATATGGGGGTATTTACTGGAATTCCCTGCAGATTTCTGTTGTCTCTGGTAATAAGATAAAGAGCCCTTTGCCTCTTGGATACAGGTAGGAATGTGACCCTAGGCTGATCTGGGGTGGTCATTATAATGTAGTGACTGTCTGGGACCTGTGTGAAATGATTTAGTGGGCTGCAGTCCAATTCTCAATGGAGGGATGACCACGTCACAGAAGGTCACTCCCCTTTTCACTAAGAGCATTGCCTTATAGATTTACTATATTTTCATACATTTTTAGGGTTGGAAGGGACCTCAGTAGGTCACTGAGTCTTGTTTGGTGCCAGGCTGACTAGTCTGTGGGGTGGATCTCCACTCATGTCCAAATGCCCCACATTCAGTACAGCATCCAGCCAGGTCTGATTAATCTCGCATGTGTCCGGGGCACCAGGTAGAGCCAGGGATGTTTTTCTTGGGGACTGGGTCAATGTTTTTTTTCCAAAGTCCAAACCAGATATCTGGGAAGCTGATTTTCCAGTGCAAGAATGTGTGGTTACTTGTGGGAATAGAGACCCTGAAAATGCTGACTTGGCTGTAGTTGATTCCATCCTTATAACTTGTCCTTTATTTCCAGCATTTGTTGTAGTAAAAACTTTATGTCTCTTCACGTCAAAATTATGCATCTACCAGGTCCCTCTCCTCTTGTTACAAGACTTTATTTTCTCCTCTCTTTGTAAATCACTTGGGTGCTGTTTCACAGGGAATCTGCTTGGAATTGACCACCTTTGCCTTCTTTATCAAAAATTGATAAAATTGGATATCAAATTTAAAAAAATAAGGAAATTCCTGTCATTCCATGTGAATATACATCTCACTAACTGATTCATTGTGATGAATAATATCATAATAATCCCATAATGAAATGCTGAAATCACTCAACATTATCAGATTGTAGAAATATGCCAGAGACTGCAGTCGTAGCAACATCATTTATGCAGCTACAGAGAGCGAGTAAGCAACCCTGCTGTCATGGGCAATAAATCACACTAGATTTGGTAGCATTTGCTTTAGCATTTCAGGATGCTGGGTGGACCAGGCACTGGGTCAGGAGCCTAGGGTGTGGGTTGTAGTTCTGTGGGGCAGTGGAGTAACACCTGATCCTTTTTGCTGCATCTTAGCTCTACTGGTGCATAATTCTCCCTCATCCCCTGCATTTGTCCCGAGCACAGCATGTTATGTCACCTAGGGATGAATTCCTTGTGGTGCAGATGCCCACTGCTTTTCCATGCTGTCTCTTGGACTACTCTTCTTACAGGATGACGCGAATCAGTCTCACTGGGTCCTGAAACTTTCTGCTGCCTTGCAAAGCTGGCCCTGGAGCTGCTAACTTAGCCTGCAGTAAGGGAGTTAGGTTCAGCATGCAATTGTCAGCCTGATCAAGGTCTTGAAATACCAAGACCTTGATCAGCATTAGCAGAGCATCTATGAGAGGTTGGCTGAGCCCAGGGCTGAGCAGTGAGCTTCTCAAGGTATAGGCATCAGCTTCAGCTACAACCTCACTGCACTGGTACCACAACATTAAGCACTCACTGAAGGCACATCGAGGTCTAAGCTAAACATGATGTGTCTATATATGCAAGTAAGTGCAAATAAACTGAATGCACTTTAAGCTAATACACATTAAGCAGTTTTTGGCAGGTGTCTATGAGTGTAGGGACTTCGGATTAAAGTTAATGCACTTGGCACTAAAGTTAGTCCCAAGTCCCTTCAGCCCTGCCATGTGCCCCTATGGCCACTGGGAGGAGCTCCAGACTCTGGCCACATAGCTGCCAGCACTTGGCAGCCATATTGAAGTAAGACCCAACCGCCAGTACTTGGCAGCCATCTAGGAAGCTCTGATCCCCAGTCAGCCCCTTCCCTGCCCAGGAGCCATGTGCCCAGTGCAGGGGCAGCATGCAGCAGTTCTCTCCCTGATGACCCTGCCTTCCTGCACCAGGGCTGCCCCTGCCCCTGCAAGCGGCATCCAGCACCCTACTGCTCCAGCCCAGCCCCTGCTAGTGACAAGTAGTGCCCTGCACTGCTGCTGGCCATGGTACTGGTTCTGCTGACTCCAGAAGCCCCCTCCTTCCTTCCCCCACCACCCAGATCCCAGGAGGGCTGTGCACCCACCAGTGGGGGCCAGAGCACTAGCTGTGGGAGGCCCTGCCTGACTCCACTCCTCTTGCACTCCCTACTGCAGCCTGCCTGCCTGTTCTGTCCCCCCCAACCCCCTACCCTCTGCCCAGTCCAGCACCACTCTCAGGACACACTCATGGGTGAAACAAAGAATCTTTACTGCAATCACAACTCCCCCCCCCCCAAAAAAAAAATGCCCCTTTAACACCCTCCCCCCCCCCCAACAATGAAAAACCCACTAACAAAACCCACTATACACAGGAGGCAAACTATATATATATTGAAAACTATTTACAGTATTTTGGCTGTGTTCAAGCCCAGAGTGGGGGGCCATGGGGGCAGAGCTCTGGCACAGATGCCTAGTGCCCCAGCCCCTGGATGTTCCCCCACAGGTCTAGGAGCTATGGTGACCCCAGCCTGTGGCAGCCTTGTGCAGGGCTGGATCTTCAGCTGCGTGGTACAGGGGAGAGTAGCAGGACTGGGCCCAGGCGGGTGGTGGCACATCTGCGGCGGAGGCTGGGCAAAGGAGTCTGGAGGGAGAAGGAGCCCTAGGACTTACTCACAGGCCCAGGAAGGGGCCTGCTCTGGGGTGGTTGGTGGGACAAAGAGGCCCTGTGGTGTCATGAGCAGGGGCTGGGCATCAGGAGACATGTGTGGCCACCAGGGCCAGGAGGGTTTTCATGGCCTGGTGGTTGGCATCCCCTTGCTGCCGGAGCTGCTCCAGGCACTCTCGCTCCAGGGCTTCCATGTGGGCTCAGTAGTCCCACTGCACCCCGTCTTGCTTCTCCACCTGGACAACATCCTCTATCCACCAGGCCTGCTTCCATGCCTCCCGCACCTGCTCCCGCACCTCCTTCTCCTCCACCACTGTCATCAGCTGCTGGAACAGCAGGATCCAGTCCCCAGTGTGCTGCTGCTGCAGCTGGTGCATCCAGACAGCTCCAGCAGTGGGTAGTGGTGACCCAGAGGTAGGATCCCTGCTGGGGCTGGTGGGCTCTCTTCCACATCCAAATGTTGGCTCTGCAGGGGCAAGAGACAGAAGCCTTTTGTGAGAGTTTGCAACATTTTAGAGAGAAGATGCTCTGCATCAGGGGCCGTGTGCTGCCTGGCCTCAGATCAGGGGTCAGCCCGAGGGTGCCTAGGGACCATGGTAAGTCAGCCAGGCAGGCCTGGGCCCTGGCAGCTGCTGGCTGAGCCCCCCCACTCCCCCCAGGGCTGGCCAGACCAGGCTGATGGCAGCACCTGCTGCCATGGCTTCAGACCCTTCCCCCCCTACCTCTCTCCCTGCAAGCCAACCGCTCTGCTGTGCTGCTGTCCAGCCCACAGTGCCTCGGCTCAGGGCACATGAGGCTCCTGGACAATTGGGGCAAGGGGCTGGCCACACCCCTGCCCTCCCCACAGGGGACTTATCTGGAGAGGTGCCCCAGGGCTGGCCCCCTCCTGCACTGCTGCTATGCCCTGAGCATACCCCTGCTGTGTGTGCCCTGGGTGGTGCACGATGAGCTGTTTGTGCAAGATGTGGGTGCCCAAGCCACTACACCTTCCTGCTGCTGATCCTGCTGGTGCCCCAGACACACCTGCACTCCTGGTTTAGGACTCTGAGCTATGACAACATAGGGAGCAAGCCTGAGTTGCCCCACAACCTCTACTGCCACCTGGAGGGCTACCTGTTGCAGTGCTACATGTCCCTGGCCCCTGCTACCAAGGAGGACATTGCTGCCAGCATCGATGCCTTCCTCAGCATGAGAGGCCCATGCTCACTCAGCTGTGGGGACATGGACTGCACAATAAAGTTCTGAAATGTATCCCACATGTCTTCATGCTGTGGGGGCAGAGGGGGTGGGGAACCCAGGGCCAGGGGACTGTGGGTGGTTCAGGCAGGGAGTGGGGGCAGGGGCCAGGGCCAGGGCCAGGGGCAGGGAAAGGGGTGTGGACTGGAAGGTGGGAGGGCCCTCCCCTAGTGCAGGACTTACCATTTATCTGGGGCTGGCAAGGCTGGTGGCTTAG